TTTAGTACCTTCATGCAATAACAAAATAGGTCAACTATTTCAAAAGCTCTTCAGTTTGTGAAAATTTAGCATGATTGGTAATTTCAACTTCAAAGCCACCTGAGAAAAAAAAATTATGTTGAATATAATTATTTGGGTATAGTCGTGTTGTATGAGCAATAAGGATTTCATTGTTGTAGACCCTTATGGGGATATCCATTGAAACAGGAAATCCCTTTTGAATGGAAATTATAAGCTACCTTCAAAGAGAAAAATATATATTGCTTTGTATAATGTAGTGTATATCTAGGTACACAGATACTTCTTTTTATATTTTAAAAAGAAATTTGTATCAAGCATGTCAATAATAGCACCTTAAAATTTAGAAACATCACCAAACTGATCCTCTGAACTTTTGTACAGATTTAAAAATAATTTAAAGTGGTTGTAAAAATGTAAATGTAACAAAATATATTCTTATATAGTGTATAACTGTTTCAAACCTCAGCACCTTGTCCTGGCCACTCAGCTCTTCTGCAGTCTGTCACTTTCTGACAGTTTTCTCTGACACCAGGCAATCTATGGTGACAGACCACGCTCCCGGCACAAAGAAGATGATTGACAGCTCCACTGAGCTGACAATGTGTATATTTTTTAGGGTGACGCTGTGTAGAGGGGGGTTAGGCGGTAAATTTGGGTAATGGCTGGACATACACTTTAAAGTGGAACTCTAGGTAAAAAAAAGAAAAATGGTGTACAGTCAGGAATTTTAATGCAGAAGAGACGTGCTTTGTCTCTTCTGCATAAAATTTACTTACCTGCCTGTCTGTTCTTGTACAGTGAGCCACGCATGTGCAGCTCACTGTACATATTTGGCAATGCCAAATTTGACTGAACTCCTGCTCATGCACAGGAGTGACATAATTCCTGCCTGCCAATGACAGCAGGCAGCGATTGAGACCCGGAAGCCAGCCGCCTGAAGTTGTTCAGCAGTCGGGTGGGGAGCAGTGGCACACTGCATCGCTGCAGCAGGGGCGAGTATAGTTCCACTTTAATGTATTTTTACATACAGCGCACATTTGACCCAAATCTGTTTGATATCAGCCTACTTCAGTTATTTTAACAGCAGCTCTAATACCAATCATAATCTACATTATTACTCATTATTCTCCAGAATATTGATAGCTTATTGAAGAAGGAGAAGACCAGGTTGTATGTCATAACTGGAACAGGGGCGGACTGACCATTTGGAAACTTGGGCACTGCCCGAGGGCCCGGGGTCAGTAGGGGGCCCCATGAGATGCCCCTGGTACCTTTTCATAGGCTTTTTTGAGTTTGGGCAAGGACACAGGGGCTCCATGATCCCCTATTGCCCGGGGGCCCCATGAGTTGTCAGTCCCCCTGAACTGGAATGTAGTCTACAGAGAGGTCTATGGTTCTGCATGGGTTACAGTGCTGATCCCTCCACTTCCCCTTCCAACAGGGGAAAGAGAGATTGAAGTCATTGTGAATGGGGATAGAATGAATGGATCAGAAGCTGCAGATTCATTCATCCTGTTTCAGTGACACAGGGATTACTTTTAACCCTTGCATGCCCCCTCCTCTCCTACATATACTATCTCTAGGCTGTCTCTATGTGACCTGTATAATAACCCTTTTGTCTCCTTTCTCCTACCCATGTGAACAGTAACCCTTTTATCTCTATCCTGCTGCTATATGTGACCAGCACTTTAACCCCCTCACTTCCTCTGTGTATGATCTGTACATTAAAGTAGTATTAAACCCAAAACCAAAAATGTATTATCTTGCAGTTTATAATCATCATATGTGGTGGCTGCATTCATTTTCTTTTATTTTAATTTTCTCTTCAGTTTTCACCTGGTTATCTGGCCAGTAATACACCTCCTGTATTAATAAGAGACAACTCTGGATGGTTGAGCACGGGAAACACAGAAGGCAGCAGCATTGTCAGGCTGGGGGAAGGGGAGTGCTAAATGCATTAACAGAGTTGAATAGAATAACAAATTGAAGCCAGACTCCAGCTCACACTGCATAATAAGTTACAGCAACAGTTGTTTTTCTTTTTGGTAATATACGTTTTGCATAAATAAATACATACAAGCTGATCATTTTAATCTCCCCTATCAGTGGTAAATGGATTGTCTCATCCAGGTAAACTAATACATTCTGCTGGAGAGTTTGAGCTTCTGAAAAGCAACAGACTAGCTGGCTGGATCACCAGATGAAAATAGAAAGCCTGAAAAAAAGAAAACTAATGCAACTATCACATCTAAGAACTGTTAAGCTGCAATATAGCACATGTTTGCTTTTGGGTTTAATATTGCTTTAATGTATCTAGTTCCCCATTCTCAATCTCTTTTTTAACTCCCTCAGTACCAGCATGTTTCCTCATTCCCCCAAAAAATTAGAGCACCACAGTGGCTAAGTGGTTAGCACATCCACCTAGCAGCACTAGGGTTACTGATTCAAATTTGTATGTTCTCCCTGTGCCTGTGTAGGTTTCCTCCCACACTCCAAAGACATGATGGTAGGTTAATTGGCTCCTGTCTATATTGGCCCTAGTATGTGAGTTAGGTACCATAGACTTTAAGATCCTTGAGGGCAGGGGCTGAGGTGAATGTACAATAGATATATGTAAATTGTTGCATAAATTGATGACGCTATATAAGCACCTGTAATAAATAAATAAATTGTGGTAAAAAAAAATTACATCACCTTGGGGTGTCTACTTTTAAAAAAAACGGTTATATCTGGGGTTTTGTATTTTACTGGCATTTTTTTCTTAACAGAAAGTAAGGGAAAGGGTTTCTGTTTGTTGGTCTTTTTTACTTTATAGTAAAAAAAAAAAACCCAGCGGATATTTAATACTACCAAAAGAAAAATCTGTCTTAAAAAAAAGGATATAAAACTCAAGTGGTTACAATGTTGCATGATGAAGTAATTGTCAGTCAAACTATCACAGTGGTGAAAAACTGAAAAATGGCCTTGTAATGAAGGGGTATTACAGGCTGGTACTCAAGTGGTTAATGAATGAAATCACAATGGCCCAACACTTGAGAACAAGCCAAAAAAAAAAACCTTTTACTTTCCAATATAATTAAAACACCTGCCACCACAATTATTTGTTTCTATTTGTAGAATCTGACAAACAATGCGTTAAACAGCAATGTGGCTAGACCTAGAATGCATTATTCCAGCAAAACAACTCAGTTCCAGCTCAAAGTAGATTTAGTAAGCAATTGTTTTTCCATGAAGGTCTTAATTTAATTTCATGTAATTTGTTTGGGCATTCTGAAAGGCAAATCAATTACAATTGGTTTGTCCTTTGGTACATGTGCCAGCTATAACCACATCTGTGCATTCTAACAGCATGAATCACAACGGAGAGGCAGAAGGAGAAGGTTCTAGGAGACAAAAGAGTTCAAACTAGGGGAGTTGGATTCAATGTTCATATTGTCAGCTGTTACTCTTTTTATATTTGTTTATTTCTCATTATATACTATTATCTTTGGCATGTAAAACACACATATCAACAGCTTGCCTGGATAGGATTCGGAATTACTATGTAAGATATAGTACCAGATTTAGTGCATGTAAAGCCCACAGATTTGTTTGGGCTTTTTCTCCTACGTTTTCTGGCCAGTAACACACCTCCTATCTTAGAGTGCCCCCTCTCTGGATGAATAGGCAGAGGGGACACCTTTGGACAGCAGCATTGTCAGTCTAGGAAAATTAGAATTTTAGATGTATTAGCTGATTTAGATACACTAACAAATTGAAGTCACAATTCAGCTAACAGGTATAATAAGTCACAACAAACATTTTTTTCCTTTTTGGATAAAGGTTTTACATATATAAATAAAAGCTGATCATTGTATGCACCTCTGTCATTGTTAATTGGTTTGTCTCATTCCTCTAAACTGATACATCTGGAAGATAGCTTGTTCTTTTGAAACAAAAGACTTACTGGCTGGATTACCAGATGAAAATACAAGAAAAAAAGCCATAAAAATAAAACTAAAGAAGATATCACATCTAATAACTGGTAAGCTACAACATAATAAACATTGCTTTTGGGTTTAATAACACATTATCGAAGGTTCTTAGAACACATGACACTGCCCCCTGCTGGACCTGCATTTGAATGTGCAGGCTAAAAGCGCTTTGAAAATGAAAGTTTTTACCTATCATACAGTTTTCAGTGCTTGTCCACAAGCATGCAACAGGCAGCAAACCAAACAGTTAATTTATATGCACTCAAAAGAAAAACCTGTTGAAAAATATAAACCCATATCCTAAGATTGTTTTTTTTTCTGCATACAACATCTGATCTGCATACAAAGATAATAAAATTATTTGTGTCACATACAGGAACGACTAGAATCTGTCTATTGCAGAAGTGTCCAACCTTTTGACTTTCCTGGGCCACACTGGAAGAAGAGGAATTGTCTTGGGCCACACATAAAATACACTAACAATAAGAACAGCTGATGAGCAGAAAAAGTCGGGCAGATCACAAGTTAACAACCACTGAGACAGCTATTGTATATGAGCAATAATACTTCACTTTTTGTAATATTTGATATTAGTAAAAGAGGGCAACATAAAACTAGTGCAATATTTGATGCGGTTTTTGATGAACACATCATTATCTGGTTCATCAAATGTAGTAGTAATTCTCAATGAATTCTCAAGGTGCTCATCAGATGTTTTGGTTCTAATGTTGCCCTTCTTGTGCTACATCCTTGAAAATAGTTGCTCACAAATATATAGGTGCTGCCATAACTGATGACATGATTAAGGCATGACTTTGAAGAGTGTGATATTTTTCTTTGGAAAGATAAAACCTATAAAAGTCCATATTTTCCTTTAGCTGTATGTGATCGCTATTTTTACAAAAAATTCAAAAAACATTAAATTTTTAACCACTTCTTGTCCACCCTATAGAAGTAATGCTGCTACAGGGCAGCACAGGTGCGCAAAATCACAAATATTTACACATGATTTTGCATTTACGGGTATGGGCCACGTGCACCCTACCCACGTCGCTATTCATGGCCTCAGCTGACAATCATTGGGTTCTGGCCGGTGATTACTTGCTGGCACCTGGTGATTGAGGAGCATTACCAACAGAGGGAGAGAACTGTATGTAAACAATACAGTTCTCTCCCCTGTCAGCTCCTGTACACTGTTGATGCAGAGACATGCAAAGCTTACAGTTGAAAGCACACACACAGCATAAAGTAAAACAGCACACAGAACACAGTTAACCCTTTGATTGCCCCACATGTTAACCCCTTCCTGCCCTGTGTCATTAGTACAGTGTCAGTGCTTTTTATTAGCACTGATCACTGTATTGGTGTTACTGGGGATGTCAGTTACACCAAGTCAGTTCCCCCCAGTGTCAGATTGCCCGCCGCAGTCCCACAGGAAGTCGCTGATCACCGCTATTACTAGTAAAAATTTAAAACAATTCCAGTATATATCCCACCATTTGTAAACGCTATAACTTTCACGTAAACCAATTAATTTACATTACTGGGATTTTTTTTAGCAAAGACATGTAGTACAATACATTTTGGCCTAAATTTATGACGAAATTTGATTTTTAAAATTTTTTTACTGGACATGTTTGATAGCACAAAGTCAAAAATATTGTTTTTTCTCAAAATTGTTGGTCTTTTTTTATAGCGAAAAAAAAAAAAAAAAAAAAAAATAGGCAACCAAATACCAAAGAAAGAAAGCTCTATTTGTTGGAAAAAAAAGGAAGTACATTTTATTTGGGTGCAGCATTGCATGACCGTGCAATTGTCAGTTAAAGTAACGCAGAGCCATAATGCAAAAAATGGCCTGGTCAGGAAGGGGGGTAAATCCTCTGTAGGGCAAGTGGTTAAAGCAAGTTTACAATTTTGTGTTGGCTGCATTCATAGCTGTCATGGGCCACAGGTTAGACACCCATGGTTCATAGGTAACTTTATACTCCAAAATTACAGTGTCCGTTGTGGTCGTGTTATAGTATAATGTCTGTTTAATTTTATAATGCTGTCAACTTTATTTTTCCTAAACGCATAAAACTGTACCGTATTTTTCGCCGTATAAGACGCACTTTTCTTCCCCAAAACTGGGGGGGAAATGTCAGTGCGTCTTATGGAGCGAACATGGAGCGGCCGGTCCGGTATTTCCACCGTGGCTGTGTCAGAATACCGGGCCGGCCGCTCAGCTCTGCAGCGGGACCTTACCTGTTCCTCTATCCAGCGGCGTGCTGTCTTCCCGGCTTCTGTAGTGTGGGCACTGGGCATGACAGCCGGGTGCCAAGTGCGCATGCGCAAGAAGCGGTGCTTTTTGTGAATGGTAAGGCGGTACTTGGGACACATGACAGATCCCAGAAGCCGCCGGACCAATCAAAAAGTGCAAGTGCTTCTTGCTCATGCGCACTGGGCACCCGGCTGTCATGCCGAGCGCCATTACAGAAGCCGGGAAGACAGCGCGCGGCTTGATAGAGGAACAGGTAAGATCAATCAAAAACTCTGCGGAAGTAAGAGCGGATTCCTGTCAAATTCAGGTACACGCTCCCCACCTCCCCAAAGGTCAGCAGTCATCTGTACTGTCCGCAGTCTCTGGTCATCCCTGTGCTGTCCGCAGTCTCTGGTCATCCCTGTGCTGTCCGCAGTCTCTGGTCATCCCTGTGCTGTCCGCAGTCTCTGGTCATCCCTGTGCTGTCCGCAGTCTCTGGTCATCTCCTGTACTGTGTCTGCAGTCCATTAGTTCAGAATTTTTTTTTCCTGTTTTCTCCCTCTAAAACCTAGGTGCGTCTTATGGTCAGGTGCGTCTTATACGGCGAAAAATACGGTATGTTATGAAAATGTTGCTGAATAAGGCATGTGAATGGAGCCATAGGAATGCATTATCTGCATTTAACTGTGGTAAATAAGTTCCTGTAACCACAGCTAAAAGCGGAAATCTAACCGCCCGTGTGAAAGGGGTCTTAAGCTCACAAATACAGTACAGCAATTGTATTACTGTCAGGATCTCCAGGTGAATATACAGGCAACAAAGACTGCAAAAAGACAGCTAATGCCCCCAACACATCAATGGACTGATAAGGTGCAATATATTTTCCTCTTTTATTGTTGGGTTTAGATACACTTTAATTAAATAGTTTGTTTTTTTTATAGAGTGCTAGGGTTCCCCACTGTTTGTATGAGGATGGGCATTAATGCAAGTGCTCTTACAAATTAATAGCTTTGTTGTTTAGGAAATATAATTCAAGCACTTACTATGAAAGATGAACAAATACATGATTTGAAAAGTGATGTTTTCCCACTGACAGCATTTTGTTATTATCCACAAGAACAATAGAGCGAATACTGGAGAGCAATCAAATGAGAATGAGACGAGATAACAGGAAAATGGTAACAATATGTGTTTACAAATAGATTTTAATCAAATGCTGGAAACCATTCAAATCTGCAATAAAAATGTACATTTGAATGCATTTCTATTTGTCTACCTGAATTAGACCTTATCCTCAACATATGTGACATGAAATGCCAACAAAAGGCCCAGAGTGTTTTCAGCAATGTATCTGTGTGTGGGCATTGCAATGTATTAAAATAGAGGAACTGCAACCTTCATCCAAATGGTTCTATTTTCCTTTGTGATGTTTATTTTCCATGGTTATAAAATGTCCGCATATTGTCCACACACAGAACAGCTGATATCAGCTCCTTCTCAAGAGCCTATAGATCAAAGCCTATAGCCACAGGGTGGCTTTAAATAGAATATCCTTTATTTTTTTACATTCCTTTTTTTATTATATATGCTACAAAAAAAGGAATGTAACATTTTAATTTCTTATGGAACTCTATGCAGGGAATATCCTTTGTGAGATGTTTTAATTTCAAAAAGCACCATGCTACAAATAAGAAAAATTAATAATAGCGCCTATGGTCAAAATTGTATAACTTACTAATAGTGTACCAGCTGCAAAAAAACCACCATATATAAAGTGTACCAATTAATAAATAATTTGCGCTAGTAAATATATATAAGTATATGTAAAGAAATCATCAAATCATAAGTCCAGAAAAATATATATATACCAATACCACAGAAAAATATAAAAAACTTTTTAGGTGCAAAAAAACTTTTGTGCAAAAGGAGTGTCTCAATATAAAAAAAGTGTCTCAATATAAAAAAATTTCACCAAAAAACCTTGATAATATAATGGCAGATCATCCATAAAAATATCTTCAGAAACGGAAGCTCTCCAACACACCGATCCTCATCGATCGAAATAACAGGACGAAAAACTTTGTAGTTAATCGAAAATCCACTTCTCCAATAGAAAAAGGACCACCTTCAAACGTATCCATGGGGGGAAATGCCAAGCACTCGAGAGAGAAACAGAAAGCCTTCATGGTGCAATATTATAAAAACCAATTCCTTTATTAGATACTCATTGCACTTACTCAAGAGGTGTCCCAGCCGACACCAGCATCAACAGCATCAACAGCAATCACATAAACGAGCCTGACTACTCAGCACATGTGCAATAGCTGGCAGTCAAAAACGTAATGACATCACATCAATCAAGCTCCGCCCTACGCGTTTCGTCATCGACGTCCTCACGGAGCGGATAGATGTGAGACGTCTCACCTTCATTAAATATACACTCACAGGAAACGAACAGCTGACATCAATGGGGAATCAAGCAAAGCAAGCCGCCCCAAGGATGACAGAAGTCCACAAAAAGTATACAATATATCCAATATATTTGCCATCACAAGCAAAAAACTTTAAAACAAGGGAACAAAAATAAAAAGAAATTTAAATAAAACAATGATAGTAAATAAATTAAATAAATAAATACATTAACGGGCCAATACCCTCTAAGACTGTGTTTCAAAAAGGGAACTTAAAGGGCCAGTAACACATTAAGCACAAATAAAGGGGAACTCTAGTGATAATACAAAAATAATGCAGAAATTGTATAAAAAGCACACAATCTTCCATATATCATCTTTAAACAGTTGCCTATATGAAAATATACTTAAAAAGCATAAAAATTAAAATTTAAAAATTTGTGAGAAAACAGTTCAAATCTATATCGACATTTAACCCGAATGGTTGCAAGGAATTTAGTTCATAAATCCAAAACGTCTCTTTTTTGGAAATCTCATTAACCAAATCCGAGCCCCTCCAATGGGGTTTTACCATCTCAATCCCATAAAAGGTAAGTAAGCTCGGATCACAATTATGTACCAATTTAAAATGTTTGGATACACTATGTTTATCAAATCCTTTTACTATGTTTCTTATATGTTCGCCTATTCTTGTTTTTAAACATCTCCCAGTTCTCCCAATATATCTCAAATGACATGGACATTCTAAAACATAAATCACATGTGTAGAATTACATGTAATCAGGGATTTAATATCATATTCTTTTTTGGAAAATGAAGAGCAGAATGACTTTTTTTTTTTATTACTACCGACTTTTACAGTCCTACATACTTTACACTTCCTACAAGGAAAAAAACCATTTAAATTTGGAAACAGATCGAACTTTTTTGGGGGTTCGATGACATTGCGAGCCAATTTCATCCTAAGAGACTTATTTTTCTTATAAATGAATTTAGGAGTTTTAGATAAGAATTTATTTAGTATATCATCTTTTAGCAAAATGGGCCAATATTTTTTAAAAATTCGTTCAATATTTTTATATTGCATATTATAGTTAGTAATAAAGGGTACATTATTTTCAAATCCCACATGAGCCTTTTTATTTCCAAGAAATGTCTCCCTATCTTTAATACCAATCGAATTTCTCTCTTTAATCAAAAAAAGGTCTTATCATACCCTTTCTCTAGAAATCTTTCAATTAACACCTCAGATTGATCGAAAAATCTTTGTTAGCGCTACAATTTCTTTTTAATCTGGTAAACTCCAAAAAGTCAGTTTACCAGATTAAAAAGAAATTGTAGCGCTAACAAAGATTTTTTCGATCAATCTGAGGTGTTAATTGAAAGATTTCTAGAGAAAGGGTATGATAAGACCTTTTTGATTAAAGAGAGAAATTCGATTGGTATTAAAGATAGGGAGACATTTCTTGGAAATAAAAAGGCTCATGTGGGATTTGAAAATAATGTACCCTTTATTACTAACTATAATATGCAATATAAAAATATTGAACGAATTTTTAAAAAATATTGGCCCATTTTGCTAAAAGATGATATACTAAATAAATTCTTATCTAAAACTCCTAAATTCATTTATAAGAAAAATAAGTCTCTTAGGATGAAATTGGCTCGCAATGTCATCGAACCCCCAAAAAAGTTCGATCTGTTTCCAAATTTAAATGGTTTTTTTCCTTGTAGGAAGTGTAAAGTATGTAGGACTGTAAAAGTCGGTAGTAATAAAAAAAGA